TGAGAACCACCCCTCCCCCGCATGCCTTGGCAGCGGAGGAGCCATCGGTGTGGAGAGTCCACCATTCGTCCAAAGGTGCCGAAGGCTTCTCGTTCGTCGCTGACCTTGCTGTGCATTCCGTCACGAAGTCTGCCAGGGCTTGGCCCTTGATGGCAGGCCTCGGGCGGATGTCAATGTTGTATTGGCTTAGGAAGATTGCCCATTTTACCATTCTAGAAGAGCTGGTGGGACTTCTCATGAGGGCACCGAGGGGTTGGTGTGTGAGCAATTGGACTGGATGAGCTTGGAAGTAATGGCCCAATTTCTTGATGGTCCAAACGATGGCTAGCACCGTTTTTTCCACGGGGGAATATCTGAGTTCCGCTTCCCGTAGGGTCTTGCTAACGTAGAGGATGGCGTGTTGGATGTCGTCTTCCTCCCGGATTAGCACTGAGCTGATGGCAGCAGGGCTAACGCCAATGTAGAGATATAAGGTTTCTCCCACCTTGGGCTTGGAGAGAACAGGGGGAGAAGACAAGTACTGTTTCAATTCATCAAAGGCCTCCTGGCATTCTGATGTCCATCGGAAGCCTGCTGTCTTCCTCATTATTTGGAAGAAGGGGAGGGCCATTTCTGCTGACTTTGAAAGGAAGCGGTTGAGGGCCGCCAAGCGACCCGTCAACCTTTGAACCTCCTTCACGTTGCGTGGGGGCTCCATGTTGATGATAGCTTGGATATTCTCAGGGTTGGCCTCAATACCCCTTCGACTAACCATGTAGCCAAGAAACGTTCCTCCTTGTACGCCGAAGGTGCATTTTTTAGGGTTCAATCGAAGATTGAAATTTTGCATGATGGCGAATATCTCCCGGAGGTCCTCGGCATGTGTGGTTGATCGTTTGCTTTTGACGATCATATCGTCAACATACGCTTCCATGGTGCGGCCTAGGACGGCTTGGAAGACTCTGGCCACCATGCGGGTGTAAGTAGCGTCGGAGTTCTTGGAAGACTTTAGGCCACCATGCACAAAGTCTTCAGTCTCTTCGGCTGGCTCAGCCCTCGGCCTGCCCTCCTCCTCTTCCAGGGCTGTTGTGATGGTGTCAACGCGGATTTCAGTTTTACTAACCTTCTTGGTGAGTTGAAGGTAGCAAGCCCGGGAGAGCTTCTGATTCCCCCTAGAATAGCCGATGCCGTTGGGTGTGGGGAATTTGAGGCAGAGGTGCCGCATGGAGATGATGGCCTCTAAGTCCTCGAGGGCAGGGTGGCCAAGGTTGACGCAATCAAGGTTGACGATGACGAATTCCACTTTGAGCTTGGCCCGGTGGAACCCATCGCCGAACTCAACCATCAAAGATATGACGCCCCCAGCGTCAATGCTATCCCTCGTGAACCCGAAGAGGGGCGTGTTGATCCGTCGAAGGGATCCCGTATCAAGCTCTAGCTCTCGGAAAGTGCTGAGGTACATAACGTTGACAGAGCTACCGGTGTCAACATAAGTGCGAAGGATGACGGTGTTGCTGATCTCCGTTTGGATGACGAGGGCATCCCTGTGAGGAAAGTCACCCGAGGGCAGGTCCGTATCTGTAAATAAGATAGGATCTGCCCTCGGCCTCTTGGTTGGGAGTATATGATTGACTTCCCCAACGTAAAGGGATTGAGCCCACTTCTTCCTCTGGGTCATGGTGTCCCCACAGGTGTTGCCTCCGGTGATCATGTGGACATGGCGTTTGTACGGGTGCTGCGGGTCCTCCTCCTCACTGAGGTTCCCAATTTCGCGCTTCTTCCCCTGTGGATTTCCCAAGGGGATGGTGTTCGGGTTAACCCACTTGTTTTCCCTCGGCGGAGGTCCCTGGTGATGAGGGGGTCCCTGAGGAGGAGGCCCCCTGACGAACTGAGACAGATGGTCCGCCTGTATTAGTCTCTCGATGGCTGCCTTCAGATGATGGCAGTCATCAGTCATGTGCCCCTGATGGCGATGGAGGCGACAATAAGGTTCGTTGGGATGGATGGCATATACCTCTAGGGGTGCGCGTGAATCTCGCTCCACGAGGCCTCTTTCCTCCGCGTAGTCCAAGATAACGCTGATGGGATGCGTTAGAGGGGTGCGTGGGTGCTCCAAGAGGGTAGGTTGGGCCCACGCCCTCGGATTGCTCTTGTAGCCGCCCCCGGGTCTGGCTTGGCCATTCCGGGGTCGGTCATTGTAGGGTACCTCGCGGTTTGCCGGAGAGGGTGGCCCCGGGGCGATTTCTACCTTCGTGCTTTTGTGAAGGCTCTGGGTTACGGCGATCTTTCTCAATCTGTTCGGCTTCGGCATATCGGTCCCCCCACTGGAGAGCCTTTGTATAATCGCGGGGGGGGGGTCAGTAATAAGGCTCTTGAAAAAATTACCGTTACGTAGGACGGTGTGGAATAGGGCCATCAGCGTTCTATCGTCGGCGCCATCGACTTCGATGGAGGCTTGCCTCCAGCGTTCTAGGAAACTCCAAAGGGTTTCCTCCTTCTGTTGCCTCACGTTCAAGAGGTGGGAGAAATGCTTCTTTGATCGGTGCCTCCCGGCGAATTGTGTTAAGAAGCGATGGGCAAGTTCTTGCCATGAATCAATGCTGCCTTCGGGCAACCGATTGAACCATTCATACGCTGGTCCCTCCAAGGTGGAAAGGAACCAACGGCATAAATACTCGTCTGATGCCCCCATCATCATCATATTGTTCTGATACCTGTTGTAATGCTCCTGGGGATCCGTCTTCCCCTCGTATGGCTTGATGGGTTGTCCCCGATATTTACCGGGGATCTGTGCCGCCAATACCCTTGGGGTAAAGGGCGTCTTCATGCGAAGCTGGATGAGCGGTTCGCCTGTGCCTTCGGAAAGCTTTCATTTCATCTCCTCCATTTGTGCTAGTATGGCAGCGTAATTTGGATCAGGCACCGGGATTGATGTCGTCGGGGGTGCCTGACGTACCTCCTCGAAGTGTCGCCGAAGGGCGTCGATGATTTCGTCTTTGTGGTCCCTCAGGGGAGCCCCCTGGGAGTTCTGGCGGATGGATTGAGCGTGGTTGATCTGATGCCTGTCGTCATCTTTGTGGAGGAGGCCCTTTCCTTTGTCCCGGGGGAGGTCACTCCTCGACCCCCGAGACGGAGCCCCCACTCTCTTGTGGTCTGCTGGATGCTTTCCCACCGAGGCGGTCTTGGACCCCTCGGCGCTCCGGAGTTTCCCCAAGCCTTTCGAGGGCGGAGGTTCGGGGCTTCTCCTTGTTTACACATCGCTTATCACGCGATTGGACCTCTTGGGAGGAGGTGTCCTGTGCTATGACCCCCTCAGCGTTGCCAAATCCGCATGATGGGATTGTTGAATAGAGGAGGGGGTGACAGATAAGCGGCGTTCCCCGTACTGGGGTTGGAGGGGTGCCTGCGTCATGAAGGCACCAGGGTTCATGGTCACGTTCTGGACGAAGGCTGTGAAAGCGGCCTGGAGGTCGATGGTTGGAACCGAAGGGGGAACTTGGTTCTCACTTCGGTCCCTCCTTCGATTATCCAGGCCGATACGGGCATCGGGGGCAGCCTTCTGGATGTGCTGACGGAGGTCAACAGCAGCCTGCTCCATTTCGGCAATCGTGCCAACCTCAGGAATCCGGTTGGAGGCCTCAGTCCCATTGGTTTCGCCAAGGGCTATGTGGTTTTCCTCAAGGGTTTTGGATTGACCACAAGTTCTTCCCATTTTGATAGGTGTTTTGTGTTTTGTGAAGGGGGGTTTCTTACTTGATGGTTCGGACCTCTCAATGAAAGCACCAAATGATGGATAGTGTACCCGGGGGGTAGCTTATCCGAAGGTTATTGCGGAGAATAACTAGAGAGAAGTTAGAGCAAACAAGTAAAAGAGAGTCAAATGTATTAAATGAACTCAGCATGGTTTACAAAGGAAATAAGGGCTACTATTTATAGCAACCATAAATGCGATGAGAGTACATGTGTCAACAATCCAACGGCCGAGGGTCATTTCCATCGGGGTGGCACCGGCATTTGCATGTGCGCCGCATTAAAGGCGGTTGGTGGCTGTGACGCCGCATTAAATGCAGTGGTTGCTTGTCTCCAAAGGGAATCTTCGATGATTGCACCGTAGCCGAAGGCTCCCTTGTGGTCGGAAGCTCCTTGTAGCCGAAGGCTACCCTTATACCGAGGGCACATAGATGCCGAAGGCACCTGAACTCTGTCATTTTCTCCCAGTAGTTTTGTATGCCTGAAATCAGTTGTTTCCTGGAATCTGGAGCCTTCGGTTATAGGGGCCGAAGGCACCCATATGTGCACCGTGGGCTTCTTAAGACTTGGGCCGCTGTGCTTGGACTTCGTGTGCTCGTTAGGCTTGATGGGCCTGAGTAGGAAAAACAGGAGTTTGTGGGCCGGGGTTCCCTAAGCCATATACTCCATCATATACTCCATCATATATATATTTATACAAGAATGTTCAGGTCCGAACGTTCGGACCTAAGGCACCGTCCGAACACCGCCTTTCGTGGCGGTTCTCGGTGGAATTTTTTGATGAAATTTTTATGGTATGTTCTTCATCAAATCTAGTTTATCCATACCAAATTTCAGCTCAAAATTCGATCGAGAAAGCCTTCAAATTTCAGCTCAACACCGTTTAATATCCATTTGAAGGCTTTCCCGATCGAATTTTGAGCTGAAATTTGGTATGGAGAAACTAGACTTGATGAAGATTATACCATAAAAATTTCATCAAAAAATTCCACCGAAAACCGCCCCGAACAGCGGTGTTCGGACGGTGCCTCCCGAGTCCTGTCCGAACGTTCGGACATGATAAGTTCTCTCTCTCTCTCTCTCTCTCTATATATATATATATATATGTGTGTGTGTGTGTGTGTGTGTGTGTGTGTGTGTGTGTGTGTGTGTGTGTGTGTGTGTGTGTGTGTGTGTGTTTGTGTATGTGAATGAAGCTGAAAAAGGTCAAAAATACTGTGTTAAAATGGGATTTCCTTTTCCAAACATCAGTTTCCTTTAATTCAATGGAAGTACAGGTAAAAAATGGGCTGAAATGTTTGTTCGGCATAAAAGGTAGGAGTTGTAACTGTGACCTTGATAATAATAGTAATTATAATAATAATACATTAATTAATACCATTATCACAATATAAGCCCTTGGTGTACCAAAAAGGAAAGGATTGGGAAAATAACTTGCAAATGAAATTTTAGGTTCATGAAGAAGGCACAACATTCTAATACACGCTAATAATAATAATAAATTGAAACAAACATCAAACTCTTAGTTTCTTTCCTGGATGAGAGTCGTCCTCATTGAAGTCCCCTCCACCACCACCACCTTTCTCCTCCATCTTCTTTCGGGCAAGCAATTTACTGATTTTATGGAGCTCATTGTTGAGTTTGTGGTCTTTGTTTTGCTTTCTGGTCTTCCTCCCGTCTTGCATTTTAACACCAAACTGGAATGCAGCTTTCGGCATTGCCTCCTTCTGTTCATTGTATGACGCCCACTCTTCTTCTGTCTCAAAGTCCCACCTATGAAGTCGTCCTTTTGCCTGTATAAGATGACAACTAATCAGTTTCCAATAATTTATTTTCCAGAAAATTGTTATCTAGAATTTCCTATATGATGTTTATTTAACTCCTGTGGAAAGTGGCTTCCTCTTCTGAAAACATGTCATTTTCATGAAGCAGTTCAATTTTTTATCAGTGCATGCATAGAACTTTATACATTATACCTAAATCAACTTATTTTCCTTGTAAGACATTTTCCACAGAAAAGATGTTCAAAATCATTTCAAAACATCCTATTTTTCTACATTAAAATCTTTGAGTGTTTGGGATGACTTACTTTCAAAAAGAAATTGCTTTTTAGAGGCAGGAAATGGAAATAGGTGCTGTTAACAGTAAAAACCACTTCTAATGTTCTTTTATGCAAGCGTTAGGAAACACTTTTTAAGCTTTTTAAAGAAAGTGTCAAAAATCAATTAACCTCAAGCTATTCCAAAGAAGCTCCTAACTTTCAAGTGCCCTAATTCATTAAAGAAAAAACTTACACGTCCACCCATATCCATCTTTGTCAAATCAGCTTCATCATCACTGTCAACAACCTCACGGTTGTACTCTTGGTAGCCAGGATAACACTCAGAATAGCTCTCAGACACAAAGTTGGGATCCTTCTCCCGGGCATCTCTCTCTCTTAGCTGTTGAAGCCTCTGATCATCTCTCTTAAACACCGACCCTAAACCTCTATCTTTTTCTTCTTGGGTCATGAATTGCGGGTCCTGATGAATGTTTGAACCGGCTTGTGCATCATAGGTCTGCTGGAGGTATTGGTCTGGATACCCCACTTGCTCAGCATATTGATAATCCTGCCACTCAGGTGGATACACCCCACCAAAGGCCTGCGCTTGAACAGCTTCATACCCATTCTGTACCAGATAAATAAATAAAGGTGTTGCTAACAGTAAATTAAATGATGGGCTGGGGCATGTATGAGAATAGTAAAACTAGAATCTGAGCCAAATTTTTGGTAGCCTTCAATGTTGTCTTAGCAACAAGTTTTTTACCGAACACTAAGAGTGTTTAGTAAGGCTCAAAATGGATGAGGCAGTAGCTGAAATGGCTTGTTTGGTTGAATCTGCTGAATTATCTTTAAAATATTTGAAATATATTTAAATAATATTAAAAAAATGTAACATCTATCTATCTAAGAAAGAAAAGATAAAAGTATCAATTTGACCCATTATAAAAGTAAATTAAGCACTACATTCTTTCATTATCAACTACGTATGGAGTTGTTACTTTTAGCTTTACTTACATTGGTCTTGCAAATAAATACCCCAAGGGCATTGGTTAAGGAGAAAGATCTTAATTAAAATTCATAGGCACATGCGTTTTTTCATCCCTATGAAAATTCTACTTCTGATTCCTAAGTCTAAAGGAAACTTGTTAGGAATTTCCAATTTCATATGTTGGGTAAGGGGGTCAGATGTACGCAGCCTTACCCCTGTACTAAAGCACAAAGAGACTGTTTCCAGATGACCAGTGGTGAAAATGCGTTCAAATAGCATGGACTGACCGTTGTTTCAAAACAAAGAAGCGAGACAGTTTAGTGAGTCATTTTGCTTTATTCAATCATATTTCCAAGCCAAAAAATAGCGAGTCTTTGGCTCCATTGGAAATGATGGAAACTTCCAATTTTATGTGTTATTTTCGTTAATTTAGTAATATATGTATTTTCAATATTCTCTTAGATAATTCAGCAGATTCTCTTAGTTCCTCCACATTTCCACCATTTCAACCATTTTAGGCCTACCAGACGGGCTCAAGGATAATGGTGGATGGGGGGAATGTCACATTATTTTCCCATTGTCACCATTTGACAATATTGCCTGTATTTGAATTCCATGTAGAAAGGAGAGAAAAGGAATTGTCACACAATCAAGCTCACCGCTTGTTGCCAACCATGATGTGGTTCAGATGATGGAATTGAGGCATAGGCAGCAGCAGGTTCACCGAAATATGAGGTTCTCTCTTTATTTCTAGGGGATTCTTCCATATCCTCTGATATAGGGCTCTGGTTTGGATCTACAGCAGGGATAGAATAGTCGACTCCTTCTCCAACAAATATATCTTCTTCTTCAACTCTAGCAACAGAGGGACCCTGTTTCTCCCTAAACTCACTGTGATGATTCTTTTTAGAAGATTCATGAGTGGGCAACGCAGTTGCTTTTTCAATATGGTTCTTCATTGCACCAGATTTTGATATATTATTATTCTCTTCGTAACCATTTACAAAACCAGAAATTTTTCCTGAAAGGTGCGGTGCAACATATTGTCAGAACACAACTAGAAGTATATAAAATTGAAGACATACACTTCAGAGTTCTTAAAAACAGATTATGTCTAGACAGACAACCCTAGAAGAGAGAGACTTCTATTTAACTGAGAAGAGAAAAGGGCATCTCTTTATTTTCTTTTTTTTGGGGGGGAGAGGGGGACACTCAGGCATTTTCCTATGGGGTTTCCTGCACTGCTATTGACAAGGGAGGGGAAAAACAAGACTGAACCCCATCCCCTACCCAGATTTGATGGTTCGTTAGGTCCAGATAAAAATTTCAGCTAGCAATATCCAAATTTGGCTTTGGGTTTCGGGACAAATAACATCTCCCTCCATCATTGTTTTCACATAGCATACGAAAATCACTTAGAAATTGGATACACTTCTAGTCTTTCTGCCTACACTCTTCATTAATTCATCCCGCCAAGCACTCAGAAATTTGAAAAATTTGCTACCCAAAATTTCTAAAGAAATTGCATCCTTAAGCCCCTAAAACCTCGGACATTCAAATTTGAGTTCAGATAACCTAACCTAAACGATCACCACCCCAGAACCCCTAACATCCCCCTAGTTAAAAAACAAAAACAAACAATTCAGTGAAAAAGGCAGCATAAAGGAACCATGATGTTTTACCAAAAACAGAAAATGACTACTATAAAAGAATTCAAATAAAGTACTTGTAAGCATGAATGAAAATCACAACTCAATAACCTTTTCCATCTTTTTCCTTCTTCTTCTTCTTGAGAACTTTCCCAGATGATCCAAGGCGGAGATATGTCATAATTTTAGCTATCCTATCTAAGACGGAACCATCAACACTGACTGTAACCATTTCCTGAACAAGTAGTAAGAATAAAAAATATTTGATTGAAGGTCATGCTATAGATGGTTGAGAGGATAAAGACACTATATATTCTTAAATAGTTACTACCTCTGTCCCGGCTTAAGCTTCTCAATGAAACATGACATGGTTATTTAGATAATAATTAAATAAGGTTATTCGAGTATATTTTGAGAAGTAACTTTGAGTATATAATTTAATGAGGTTATTGATGATAACTGCACTGTTATAGGTGTATTATTTTTACTATTTGATGATATAGTTGTCATTTAAAAGTGCTAATTGTTTCCTAAAATAGAAATGAGAAACATTAGTTGGGACGTTCAAAAGAGGCAAGTGAGAGGCTTAATTTGGGACGGAGGGAGTATTTAAGAATGGAGAGGGGGTAACTGAAAGAAGCACCTCAGGAACAGGACAGTCAGCTTTACTCCTGTGAAGTGTTGTCGGAATGTCATGTGAAAACCCACTTTCCTGAGACATACATGTACATGAAGACCTAACGCATGCACGTAGAATAAAGTTATACATAGCATAATAACAGGAAACTTGGTAGGCTTACCATGTTAAATATAAAAGCCATCCTCCCAGGAAGGAACATTTCATTGGTCTTTACATCAGTCTGAGGCTTGACTATCCACTTGTATACTGACTGAAAGACAAGTCCCAATATAGATCACTAGATAAATCACGATAAGATAAATAAGATTTGAAATCATCTATAAACTAGAACCTTTGCAGTTGCAGTGCGGAAAGCCAATGTTTGGTCTTCCTTAGGTGCCCTGTATACAGATGGGAAAAGTCAGGCAAAACTCATGATCAAGATGTTAGACTAATCTGGCATTGAATTCACTTTATATAGCTAATGAAACGATGAAATAAAAATGGCAGAAAGTCAGTAATAAAATGAAATGAACCTAGATTTCCCGTCAGGGTCATCTCCAACATCAGGCTTCTTATCTATTTCACTTCTCACTTTATGAAGTAAAGCATAATCCAACCCTTTAACCAAATGTGTGTGCTCCACATCACCTGATTGCGCAATCCATCAAAAAGGCATGTCATTTATGCAGTGGTTCTTCGTTTTTGTGCAATAGTATAAGAACTAGAAATTATTCTCACCTATTACTACCAGCACATCACTATTTCCCGTCTCACTCCTATTCTTCCATTCATATTATTTGTTCTATTTATTTTATTCCTTTAGCCATTATTCAATGCAGTAGCAGCATACTGTCAACCATTACAAAAGGAAACTGAAAAGCAGAAAACATCCTTTCCACCAGAATTTAATATAAGGCAAGTAGACCAACCTCCAAGATACTTGCTCTTCTCAATAGATAATTTGTGCGCATCAGCAGAACTGCAGACATGGTAAAATTGAAGGTAAACAAGTCAACATTCATCATCACATTGAATTTGGTGGTACGCCGATGTTCAAGCAAATACATATATAAGTGAAAATGAAGATTTATTAATAAATCAAAAGCTTAAAGAGGTTTTGGAGTCTCACCCAATATCCACATTGCCTGGGGGAGCAACGGCGTGAAACGCACCCAATTCATTAAGCTCATAATCAGGATTTAGATCCTCTCGCCTCTCTTTGGCTCTGTCTCTGTACTTGGGTAGTTCTGGTTCTTCAGCTTTCTCCTCTCTGAGCAATTCATTCATATATTCCAAATAAACAACATATAACCATAAATAAATCCACAAATTTTTAAGCGTCCTTATAATATCAATAAAAATCAACCAAAAAACAAACTAAGCACGTATCTAAAAGAAGATAAATAATCTCCAGTAGCAAATCTAAACCTTAACGAGGACGACAGAGCATATTTCAAAAGCAAAAATGTCCAGGAACGTACTTGTTGCGACGAATTGTCTTCTCTTTGTGATTTCGCTTCGAAGTGGTCATGGTCGAAACTCCAAACTATCCCAAAGAATCACAAAAGGGTGCTGATTTTCAGAATAAACAAATTACTAAAATTGAGATTTAGGAGTCTGAATAAATTGACCAGTTTGCAGCAAGTATTATACTACGTACGTAGTACGTAGTATACGGAATTTCATTTAACAGATACCGTATAATCTAGGTTAGTATACCTTTCCTAGGTACAAAATAAGTTTTTTTCGAATTAATGCTAATTAATCACGAAAATAATGATGGGTTAAAAGTATTTATCAATCTACTGTTGGGTTTAATCATGATTGGAGTAAGTCACCAAACGGTTGGGCGACTTATAAGTCGCCATCTGGTTTGGCGCCTTATAAATCGTCCAACCGTTTCGCAACTTACCCCGCATCTGAACTAAGCAACCAGCTACTGGAAGCCAGGCACGATCGTGCCAGACAGGGAGACACGGCGTGCCTGGTGCTGTGCCTGACTCTGGATTTCCTAGTTTCAATCCGATTTCACATGTTTCCTATAAATAAGACCTCTCTTCTCCTATTCAGGGGTTACGAACTAGATACAACACATTACAAAACATACAACACATCTGCTCACAAACACATACATAACACAGTAGTCATCTAATATTCATAACCAAACACATCAACGCATTATAGAAGAGTTTACAGGTGGAAATACGTAAAATAAAGTCAATTCTTCCTACAACATCTAGTGTACAAGAAAAACTCCAATACAAAAGACAAACTACATGTTCTCATGGTCTTCTTGATCGTCTTGATCATGGAGATGTTGTTGTTGTTGCCTACGTCTACGCCGCTGGCGTGGTTGAAGAACCACTCTCTCATGGTGAGTCCAGGATGATGAAGCTGCCGCTGCACTAGATGTCGATGGCATATCCTGAGATTGGGGCATATGTATAAGATGGTCGTAGTCAACTTGCCCCAACACATATGAACACAACGATGTAATGCCCGTCAAAGCCTAACCGTACATGTCCACGTCATGCGTATCACTCACTATGGCAGTAGCCCGCTGATGTATACGTTGCAAAGCTCATGTCTGAAATATGAATCACAATTACAATTAGTTAGAAATAAATAAAAGTGTTAAATAAAGAAAATGACTTACTTTAGTAATTAGTAATATACTCACCGTCAGATGCAAAGCCAAGGAGCTGGGTTGATAATGGTGGGTAGGGAGTCTGAACGAAGGAGACACAAACAAACGAGTGATGTTGTGATACCATCTCATGTAGTCTCCCGAAACAAATGGGACTAATGTCGGTGTCCCAGTCACAACAAGCTCAGCCGCCTCTCCCACATAGTGGCGTATATGACATGTTTGAGTGTCCAATCCTATGTATGCTTCTCACGCCTATCCAACCTATGAAGCTCTACATATGTGTCGATAGGTGCTGGAATGACCTGCTCATACCCAAATTGTCGCAATACACGATCAGGCAAATGAAGCTCAACAATGTCAAAACATATCAACGGCACACGTGCTCGCCATATGTGAGAATGCTCTCGTCCAGCGGGGGCACCTCTGCAAACATCTCAGCTGTATAGAACATCCATGTAATATGTTTCATAAAGATACAAAATTAGTATTTCTGCTATACATATTATAGCTAATGTTATATTATGCACACCATACCTCACCATACCTGATCCTCAGACATTCGATCAAAACGCATCCATGTACACACCGAGCCCAGAAGCTGGTGATGTACGACATAGATCATCAAATAGCCATCTAAACATTCATGTAGCATATATTAATATGAATATTATTAATATATTTATATTCAACATACAATAACATAAATTCAAACGATTGAAAACATACCAACGGCCCAGAGGGTCCTCGCCCCATACATGATGTGGTCCCAGGAGACGTGGAGGCTCATCGGGGCAGTGGGTGTCCATCAATGTCATGGTATGACACTCTAATGGGACGCCCAATGTGGATGTACTCCCATGACCAAATCTGGAGAAGAAGCAAAAATCCTCCAACCTCTGTGCTCCCTCTATGGCAGCCGCGACACAGCTGTCTGTAGAGATAAGCCGGTGTGGCACTACCCCAACTGAACTGTGCTGCTACATCAAACCTTTCTAGCATAGGCAAGTGCAGCACCTGAATCTCATTTCCGCTCTTGTCAGCGAAAATGGAAGCTCCCATCATCAAAATATATGCCCTTGCATGCTGTTGGATCATCACCTCATCAGCGTCCGCATGAAGAATAGTGAAATGCTCCCTCAGCCATGACATCCTCAGAGATGACCTCTGAAGGTCAGCGCGAAGAAGGAGGCGAACACCCAACAAACGCTCACACTCATGAACCCAATGTCGACAAGCAGTATCAGTAACAGCTCTCCCATCGACCTCTAACCTAGTCGGTACATCAATCTCCCAAGGTCACTGTCACCTCACAACCAGGGAGGTGAAATGTGTGTGTCTCCTGTCTCCAACGCTCAAGAAGAGCAGTGAGTAGCGGTCTATCGAGAGGGACAGTAGCCACCAATCTATGCAGACCATAAAAACCCGCAGCACGAACATATGTAAGTACTTTGTCGTCCACCTGCACATGCGACAAACCATGTAGGTGCTCGTGGCACCTCTCCACCTGAACATCAAGGACAAGCCACACATCCTCACTCTTGTGTGAGGTCTGCACTGTCAGGACAGAATGATCACTCGGCCCAGGATCCGCTGACACCTCCATGCCTACAAAAAAGAAAAGGATATTAGTTAATTTTTACTATTGTATTGATTTATTTATTTTTAATTAATATTTTACTTATAATATTTTTTCAAGCAACGTTAGTATAAATTGTGGAATATTATAATTACAACTTTACCAAGTGGACTCCCCTCCATCTTTTGATGATCTCTTTGCACATGTGGCCCTATTATGGTCGGAGGAATCATAGGGCATAAGCCTGAAATTTCTCCCGTTAAGGGGAAATTTCATTTTCAATAGCAAAGAACGGCTTGGAGGAATCATTGTAGCAACATGTATTTTTTGAAGCATCTCGAGCAAACATGCGCACGAGAAACAATGACAAAGTTGCTTCTACCACCTTCATGGCGTATTTAGCCAACATCCTCATAATAGTTCTCTCCCCAATGACACACGATTGGGAAGTTGGAGAATCCATATTCTAATAACAATACATGTCCAACTTCCATGAGTACACATTAATATACACACTTTATACACATTGATATTTTCAATTAAAAAATTTGCTACATTCTAATATACCCAAACATCAAAATGAGATGAAATGGAGTTTAATTTACCTAGAAGAAAGATTGTTGAAGAAGATGGAGGTGGAGAGACCTTGGCAAGGTGGCTTCGCCGGAGATGGAGGTTCACCGGAGTTGGAGTGGCTCTCGTTCGCTCGTCGTTCGTCCTTCGTCGCTGTCAAACAAAACCAACCTTTCTGCCTATTTAATAGGTAAGTCGCCAAACGGTTGGGCAACTTATAAGTCGTCCAACCGTTTGACGACTTACCCCGACCAGGGTTAAGCCCAGCAGTATATCCGTAAATACTTTTAACCCAACCCTATTTTCGTAATTATTTAATTAATTAGCATTAATACGGAAAAAACTTGTACAAAAAAGAAAATCTAGGTTATTATACATGTAAAATTCTATTCACAACCTTTTTTAACTAATCAAAGTCACTTAATTAAATAATGTAGTAATAAATAAAAATAACTCAGTAATCTAAATTATCCTTTCTTTACAAAAGTATCATCAAGCAAAGGATAGAAGCTTAACCTTATTACGACTGTTCACTTGATCTGAGATCTGCGGCAAGAGGCTTGCGATCAAGCTAGTTCATATATTTGATGACTATTAGAGTTTTTTATGTATTAATATGATAATTAAAGTAATTAAGGAGTGGGTTAATTAAATTGAGCTAACCCTAGTCTTTATGACTGGTCTGAAACCATCAAAACGAACGAAGCCTTCGGATCAAATCGTCAACAACGAACGAAACGCTCATATTGTACCATATTGTAAATCATACACGTTCTGATTCAAATATAAATAGGAGTGAACTAAATTGTGAATCACATACATTATGATTCGAACTCATACGAGGTTATCAACAGCATACATACATTTCTTCGATTCTTTTTCAACATATGGCTGACTTTAGTCAAATTCTTTTTACACAAAAACAATCAACAATGGACGATGATGATGTACTCACACACGTCGAACAAAGCCTTACAAATATGCCAAAAGAATGGGGCTTACATCATTATAAGGTAAGAAGTGGATTTTTCATGTCTTCTAAACATGAGTGCAAACACCACTGATTCTCTACAAACGAAGTCTTACATAAACGTCAAAGCATAAATGACGGGTTCACATAATTTCAAGGGAGGGAGCAAGTTTTCCATGTCTTCTAAACATGAGCACAACCACCACCGATTCTCTGCAACGTTTTGGCCAAAACTATACAGAAAAACACATTACAGAAAGATATGCTTCAACATCATGTCACTAAACAACAAAAGACTCCAAAACAGAAGGTAGTGACATGAATGACATTGACACTAATGACATCGATACAACTGACATCGACATAAAACTTAACATTCATGTTTAGGCTGACAATATTAATAAAATGCAAATGGAATAGTGTTAAAAGTTTTTGCAGGACATTAGACACACTCATAGCGTCTGAACTCCAACGAGAGAAGAAGTCGTTCTTGCCAACCGAAGCGTCAACATCCACATGAATGAAATTACAATTTACTGTGTCTCATCATTAAGACAATTTTGGAGGAAAAAGACAAGATCTCAACATTCGCTTTTTTAAGATCTCAACATTCACTCCTCATTGTTAGTCAAAGAGACAGATTCAATCTGAAGCAACTTACTGGTATCGAATCATCTCTTTGACCTTTGATTGAATCTCTCTCTTTGCACCACAACCCCGCTAGCCTTATCTTCTCAAAAAAATCGATCAGGTTTGTGTAAATGAATTTCACCAGCTACAATTTTTTGGGTAAAAACTCTTTTTTGAGGAATAACCAATATTGAGAATTTGTTTCAATAAAAACATCCTTACTAAGTCAATGGGAACTTCACTCTT